TTTGTTTGTTTGTTTGTTTCTTTGTGCTTCCCATAAGCGCGCTGTACTTTTTTTTTCTTCTCTCTCTACTTAATAATTAGTGTAATATTTCTATTTTGCTGGTTATTATTATTATCATTATGTCTGTTATTCCGGTGTTTTTGTAATGCTTATTGTTTGCTTTATTTGATTTGTTTCGTTTTTTTTTTTCTCTTTCGTAGATAAACAAACAAACAAACAGAGAGAGAGAGATATAAAGATAGACATACCTAAGAGGTGTCTAGTTGATTAACAGTGAAGTCAAAGAAAATAGATACTATTGAGATTGAGAGATTTTTTTTTTTTTTTTATTACTACTCTTGTTGTTATTGTTATTATTATTGTTATTATTCTTTCATCTCTATTCTGGACTAAAGCATGCCAACCCCAACAAAAGAGACGAAACCCAATAATAATAATAATAATAATAATAATAATTATAATAATAAAGATAATAACAGCATGAAGGGAGATGTTGAACAAACCACAATATCAACAGAAGGAGCCGTAGAGGCATTACGTCGGCTTGAAGATACCGCAACGGCGATGAACACTGAAATTAGACGACTGCGGCGGGCCATTGGGGCCCAACACCGTTCCTTATCTACACAACTGCAGTCTAGGCTTGTAGAGAGAACTCCCACAGAGAAGAGAATCTCTCATTCTCACTCTAGTCTTAATACTAATATTAACTCTAATTCTCCTACACACTCTCCATATTTAATGAAAGCTAAAGAAAGACGAGAACAGGCTGCCGTCTACAGATATACAGCTTGTACATTAAAACAGAAAGCCATCATTGCAGAGTTGTGGCAAAAGATGGTAATTCATGATTGGTATGAAAAAGTAGTAGTAGTGCAATTCTATCAAGAAGTAATGCGGAAATTATCTCAATTTGAGTTTAGACTTCAACAAGCAGCATTGAAAGTACAACCCGAACGAAGTGTATATAGTGTTATCCCCATACCATTATCATTAACCGTAGTAACAGGAAATGAAGAGGAAAGACTTTTTTGTTTAAAACGAAAACGATCCTTGCGAAATGCGATTTCTCTTTCTATTAAAGTGGTAAAGGAATATATGGATCTCCAGAATAATAATAACAATAATAACAATAGTAACACTCCGAATTCCTATATAGATACTATTACTACTACTACTAATAGTACTGCAGAAGCTCCCTTTACAATAGAAGAGTTAAGAGAAGTTCTACAGTTTATCTTCACACACACCACGTTAAATACGAGTTCATTCCATTCCTTCTTCACAGCCGCAGTCACCCAAACACCGGAATTCCTACAAGCTTTACATTCATCCATACTACTACAACGTCAAAAGGTGGAATGGTGGGAATTCGCAGAGGCTTATATAAAAGAACGTCAAGCTCTCTATACACATTATACACAAATGAGGCTTGCATGTATACAAGAGAAGTGTCGGACGACAAGTGATACACTCGTGGCACAGCGACAACAACAGGAACGAGATGAGGCCAAATGGCACAGTCTTCGTATGAGTGCCATGTCAACACTCTCCTTATATATACAGAGAAGTGAAGAAGAAAAAGAAAAAGAAAAAGAAGAAAGAGAAGATTGTAATGTAGATAAAGAGATGGAAATAGATGTGGATCCTGGTAACTGTACACTGTGGCTTCTCGTACGGGCATTACGGGAGAAGAGAAGAATGAATAATGTCGAAAGTACAGCTGGAGAAGAGAGAGAGAGAGAGAGAGAGAGAGAGAGAGAGAGAGACAACAATTAAATGAATGAGTGAGAAAGAAAGAAAAACGTGTTAAGTAGAGTCCCAGGTGGACTCTATTTTTGATCTTCACACACATATATACGTATATATACAGAGTTTATATTTATTAATATGATTATTATTATTATTATTATTATTATTATTATTATTTTTTTCTGTTTTAATTACTTCACATAACTTTCCTTACTAAACATTGTGGTTGACATGATTAATATATTTATTTATTTATTTATTTATTCTCAGAGTGATAGTAATATCAACAGGGCTCACACAACTGCCAATTTGGGGGTAGGTGATGTTATTAGCTTATTCTTATTGTTTCGGATATATATATGTATATCTATGTTTTTATTTATTTATTTCTGTTCTCCTTTACTATTTTTCCTCAGTTTAAAAAGAAGTGCTTATTGTGAAGATAATCCTTCTTTTTCCCTTTTTACACTATTTCTCTTTTTTTCTCTTTCTTTTTTTTTTTTCTTACTTATTGTAAGGCATCAGAGAAGGCCAAAAGGTGAAGGTATAGGGGCCTTATAAATAAATATAAATATATATATATATATATATTACACGGAGTGTGTTAGTGTTTCTGTGACCATTGAATTGCTAATTGTACCTATTATTATTATTATTATTATTATTATTATTTAGTATTAGTAGTACTAGTAGTAGTACTAACCATTATTATTACTACTACTATTGTTGTTGCACCGTATTATTATTAGCAGTGGTAATAATAATAAGGGGTTGACCACTGGTTTTCGTTATTATTATTATTATTATTATTATTATTTTCTAGTGGTACGTTTATATATTATTTATTTATTTGTTAATTGCCTCTCATCATCAATTACCAGTTCACTTTTATGGGTTGTAGACACTCGAAAACGAAACGGGTGGGTCATCCAAACCCCATCCACGGTTCATTCACGGAAGCGGAGTCAAACAAAAAAGGCAGAAGCAGGTTTAGAAGTCATGATAATAATAAATATATGAATAATAATAATAATACTAATAATAATAATAATAACAATAGTAATATGAATAAGAAAACAAGAAGGCATGATGAGGATTTGGACGATGGTGATGAAATTCTCCCCTTCTCTCCATCTCCCTCACTTCGCCAATGGTATGATGCCCAGGTGGAGGATGTGCAAAAACTATTCCACGCCCCAACAGGTGGACACGATAAACCAATGAGTACAACGCCTCTGAAAGCCTCTGGTAGTTGGGGAGGGGGCGGTGGTGGTGGTGGGAATAGTAGTAGTAATAATAATTTCAATAAGAAGAAGGGATTAAATAAAGGTGAAGTCTCCCTTAAACCAGGTGTACTCACTCTCTATCATGTAGCCCCACTTAAACATATCATTGGAAGAGGATATTATAGTGAAGTTATGTTAGCAGATATGACGATACACACTACTACCACAAAGACGAATGCAATTCCAGAAGAATCGGAACAAGTAAAACAAAAGAATAAATCGGGTAAATGTAAGTCATCTGTTTTGGTAAGGAACCCGAGTATTACTTCTGGAAGGGAAAGTGTCACTATAGCTCCACCAACACGATATCTTATTGCATGTAAGGAGTATACATTAAGAGGAGAAAATGCCAATTTTATGTATAAAAAACTCCGGGAAGAAGTACAACGACTTACTCGCCTTGGATTTAGTTCCCGACTCTTAAAAGTACTACAAATGGAAAGTGTATATGATGATCCTAAAGAAACTGGTGAGGATGCTATTATCATTCCAGATGTACCGGATTTAATAACACCGGATTCTCCCAGTGCGACTATTAATACCAATACGAGTACGAATATCAATACAACACCTGCCGCTATTTCATTCTCCACCACAATTCCTCCACCGCCTGCAGTCTCCGCAACTGTGGCGGCAGCAGCAGCGGCAGCGGCAGCGGCGGGTCTTAATGGGGAAACAGGAAGTGGAACCGGTAATAGTAGTTTCTTTGGATCTAAACAACAGATACAAAAGACAAATGATCGATCTGGAGGAGCATCACGACATCGTGCACCTAATAAAGTTCGTATTTATATGGAATACGCTAGATATGGTACACTTCGTAATATGTTATTAACAGAAATTCCAGAAAGATTTGGAAGAACTTATATGCATGAACTTATGGTTCGTGCATATATGAGAGATGTCCTTGTTGCATTGGCTTTCCTACATGAAAATAATGTGATACATACCGATTTGTGTGCTAAGAATGTATATCTTGTAAATCATATTCAAAATGTATATTCTACATGCTTCCCTGCATACATCGCTGATATTCCTGCTGGGAAGTTTTCAAAGGTACCAACGCATTGTGTTCGTCGTGTATTGGCACTTATGGATCCTGCAAGTATGCATTTACACTATCACACAGATATTACAGGTCATTTATTAAATGATAGTGTTATCTCAAATGCAGGATGGAACCCACAAGAAAAGGCAATGAAACAAAATGCTGCAAATGAAGGAGATGCTCCTTTGTTAGGGCAAACAACAGTAACAATTGGGAATACCTTTAATACTATTACTAATAATAACAATAATAGTCACATTATTAATACCACCAATGAAAACAATGACAACAATATTAGCAAAGCCACCTTTAATGTTCCAGATAATAATGAGAACAATGAAATGGGATGTCATTGGGTGGATGAGGATGTTAAATTGTATTTACGTGAAAATGCCTATAACAATAATGAAGATATTCCACTTCCATCTCCACTTTCAAGTGTAGATCATGTTAATGTCTTCAAAACTCCTAATATGGAGGGAGTAACAATCGTACGAGGCGGTTCCTTTGCTGGTCCATCCCAAATGCCAGTATTTCCACCTGTGTTGCTTAGTGGAATGCCATCAGGCGAATATGTCCGTCATGGCACCAACGCTATAAGGAAGGATACATCCAACAATAATAGTACTAGCATGACCTGTAATAATAATAATAATAATAATAATAATAATAATAATAATAATAATAATAATAATAATAATAACGAAAATAGTTTTATGAACAATGACTCCAAATTTGATATGTATCAGAATGAAGAAAGCAGCGTACGCCGCTATAGTGCAGAATTAACCGCGCTAAATAGCACACAAACGGATCAAGCAGAAAATAGTATAACTCATTACCCGGCGGGGCGGCGCCGTTGCAAGCCGCTTATTAAATTAGGCCACTACGGCCGCATACGATCTCTTCTCGTTGGTGAGGGTGATGATACGGTGAGTCGTGATAAAGTCCATCGACTCGGCCGCGTAACGCATCTCGCCCCTGAACTCTACAGTGGTGGCAGCTTTAGTCCTGGTAGTGATATCTACGCCTTTGCGATGATGTTCATTGAGTTATCCACGCCGCTTGGTGGTGTCTTTGCGGATCTTCGCCCCGCCACGCTCGCCGTCCCCCGCACTCGGCAGGAAAAAGACGCCTTCGACGCCGAGTGGCTCGCCAACATCAAGGCGTATTTGCTCCAGCACGATTACACCGTCCCTCTCCCACCGCATCTCTCCGCGGAGTGTCAGTCGATGCTGCGGAAGTGTTTGCGATATGATCCCGCGCGGCGGCCAACGGCGGTGGAGTTGTTGCAGTCGAAATATTTTCTCTTCGGCCACTGGGCAAAAGAGGCGACGGCGAGCGGGGCGATGGAGGCGCCGTGGCTCGACACAAACTACGAGGCCGCCGCGCAGGCCTCCGGACTCCCACGACTGCCATCCGACACGAAACTGTACGATACGGAGACCATGCTGAGAGCCGCAGCCGCAATGAAGAGTCAAGAGGCAACGAAGGCAGGCGTGTGAGAAAGAGAAAGAGAGAAAGAGAAAGAGAGAGAGAAATGGTGAGGAATGATAATAATAAAGAAACAAATAAACCAAAGAAGAGGAGAATGAAGAGGAAGAAGAAGAGGAATTGGAATTGGAAAGATGTTGCTTTAAAGGGTGAGGGAATAGTATATATATATATATATATATATATATATATATATATATATATATATGCATAGAGAGAGAGAGAGTGTGTTTGTGTGTGTGTGTGTGTGTGTGAGGAAGAGGAAGAGGAAAGAATATAGTGGCGAGGGGTGAAGTCCCATTTTTAAGTGATGTGATAGAAATAATAAAAAAAAATAAAGAAGAAAAAAAATAAAAAAAAAAGAAGAAAGAGGCGAAAAGTTAGAAGGGAAAAAGTGTGATAAATAATTGAGGACATTATATAATAGTTTTGTATTTTCACTACTGTTTTTTTTTTCTTTTTTTTTTTTGTTTTTTTATTGTCATTATTGTCTCTTTTTTTTTTCTTTTTAATTGTTGTATGATCTTTTATTTCCTTTGACAGTCAATTCTACTAGTAGCTGTATAATATTTTTGAAAGTTGGATAGCGAAATGAAGAATGAACAATGATGTGGAAAAAAAAAATTTTTTTTTTTTTATTTTGGCAGCAACGTCTGTGTGAAAAAGAAGAAGAAAAAGAAGAAAAAATAATAATAAAGAATTATAGAGGAATGTTGAAAGCGGAATTAACGGCAATGAGAGAAAGAAAACTGAAGTCCATCCATCCATACATTTACTCACCCAGAAAGAAGGAAAGAAAGAAACACATGCATACATTGTAGAATTTCAATTCATATATTTGACTATTTCTATGTGTGTGTTTCTCTCTCTTTCTCTCTCTTTGTATGTATATATATATATAT